AGTTCAATAAAGCGCCGCAGGGAAAGTGTAGCAGAACGTGTGAACAGACGCTGTGTGTGCAAGCGGGAGGTACGCCTCTGAACGGCCAAACATTTACTATGGACAGGACATCTGCAAGCATCGTCCAATATGGAAGGATGTTCTGTAGTTAAGGGCACAGTGCAAAAGTAACGTGAATTAGGGATATTTTACTGGTTTCAACTCAGTTCATTAGTTTGTTTAGCCTTAATGTAGCGATATGTAAGATTTTCATGTCAAGTCTTCATTAAATGATGATGCCCTAATCTGTCAAAAGGCATTAATAAAAACTGCTCTTTTCCAATACTTCTTTAACTGGTTCGAGATATTATAATTTCAAAATATGTTTTACCGCCCAGATCTCACCGCGTGGAGCTTATCTCACTGGTAAAGTACCATGTGGCGCAGAATTAAAAAAGGTCTCGTTATGGTCTCAAATCATTAACGACAAAACAATGAATTTCTATCTTTGTGAAAAAGGTGTTGGTTATAGATTTGTTGTTGACTAAACTCTTGTCTATTCAGCTGTTATGGTCCCAGCTGGATTCGTCTGCATATCTGGCAACCTGAGTCAGGGAGAGTGGGAGAGGCTGCAGTACCACTTTTGGCCACGTTTGTATATACTTCTCCTTTAAATCATTTCACGTCTCGGAGGACTTTACAAAGCTGCCAATACAATAATAACAAACACATGGGAGCCATTGGTCCAAAGGGAGCGGGACGACCACTGTCCAGAAAGGTTTATAAATGTCCTTCGATCCTCCTGCATCAGAAAGGAACAAATACAAAAGACTTAGTGGGGAAAGAAGTGAGGAGGTCCACATTGAGAGAGGGATCCACTCCCACAGGACTCAGGCGGTAGAACGAGGACTGAGGCTGTGAGGTGTTGGACTGAGGAGGGGGTGCAGGAAAACGTTTCCGGCCAAGATTGAATTGAAATTGTATTTTACGTGACCAAAGACAAAACTTCTGGCTTGTAAAAAGAAATAAATAATTGAAAATGGTCAGAAATTGAGAAAGAATCTTGAAATGATGGTCATGATATATTTCAAAATACTGTATATTTAAGTGTGGCCTCTGACACATGATGTTAAACTAAAGCAAAAGCTGAAAAACTCACAACATGATTTAATGATTAAGTAAGTAAGTAATGTTTATTTATATAGCGCCTTTCACAGACCAGAGTCACAGTGGTTTACAATTGCGGGCATTTGTCTCTCTATCTACACAGAGCTGGGAGGGGCCAGTACAGGAGGCGCATGCCAAAACCTATTGTACATGTTTTTAGTGGTAGGGGAAACCTACGCAGACACGGGGGGAACATGCAAACGCCACTCAGAAAGCCCCTGTTGTGACCGGGATTTGAACCCAGAACCTTCTTGCTGAGAAGCGAGAGTGCTAACCACTCAGCCACCGTGCCGCCCAAAGTGAAAATCACTTCCTCGTGTCTCTACTGTTCATATAAACACAACAGGACAGAACTCTGCGTCAACGTCACGGCATCAACAATGGATCTAAATCTCTTGTTCTTGGCTCTAAAATAGTTGATTCTATCTGTCATTTTTACATCATGTGTTCTGGCCTTGTGTGTGTGTGTGTGTGTGTGTGTGTGTGTGTGTGTGTGTGTGGTTTCACTGTCTCTGTTTTGGTCTTTTGTATTACAGCAGACATGTTGCTGACGTCCACAGTCGTCTCAGTGTCGAGCCTTTCTCAAACTGAGCCCATCGTTGTGTTGCTGATAAGCCACGGTGCAGCAGACAAATGAGTTTCTTTGGCCTGAGAGCTGCATATGAAACAGATGTGTACAGTAGGTCTCAGAGTTGAGTCCGTAATGCGTTCGGTGGTGCGATGCCAGGTCCTTAATGTTCTCTGTTCATGATGAGAACAGTCTAACAAACTCCTCGTCTTCATTTGAGCTTGTACATGACTTCGTGAAAGCGTGTTTTTCCAGGAGGTGTGAGTTGGAAGTCCGTCTGACAGAAGGATCAGCGAGACGTTACAGCAGACCCTCACGATACGCTTCAACCTCCCTGCAGCAAATCCAACTCAACACTGTGCTTTTTTATTGCATTTTCCATCTGTAAATTTAACTCCAGAATTCTGTTTAGGGTTTTACACCGACGGGCATGTTAAGAGAGCAATCCACAGTCAACGAGAGCAGAGGAATGGCCCAAACGTCACTTTAAGTCACTTGCATTAGGACTGAAAACCTGCACTACTATTGACACTGTTTCTTTGATAGCCACTATCTTTGCCCAATCTTGAGTGATTCTATCCATGCCAAATGTGACATGTAAATTTCTCCTATGTGAGATCAATAAAGTCTATCTTATCTTATCTTATCTTGAACCAAGCAGACGCTGTTTGGTTTGGGCCGTTGCACCTGTTACCATGAGACCAGGGTTCAGAGGGATATCCACTCCTGCTCAGAGCCTGGTCACAGAGATCAGGACTTCAGGACCAATCCTTCCAGAAAACCACCTCCACCATGAGGACCTGTCTGAGGAAACCAACCTGTGCCCCATGATGTCCGACCATCTGCCCAAAGACGTCCAACTGGTCTCTAACCCTGACCCTGAGAGAGCACCATCAGAACCTTTAGACCTCCTGCTGCTGTCCCAATCCTGGGTTTTAAGTCCAGGTTAGATATTACTATTTATGCATCCATCCATCTTCTTCCCCATAATCAGAGCTGCACCCAAATCACAGAGCACCAGTCCCTCCCTGATCCTCCTGCAGGTGGTGAGTCCATGTAAGGCTGCTTTGTATGTGTGAGCCTTGATATTTCACCGGGGGCTTCAGGCAAAGTGGGGTTGAGTGTCTTGCCCACGGACACAACGACAGCAGACATCAGTGGGAGTCAGTGGAGAAGGTTTTGGTAGGCTCGAACCCACAACCTTCAGGCTCAAAGGCCAATACTCTACCAACTGAACCATTTATGATTTAATGTAAGTGTCTCTGCTTCTCTGTAGCTACTCGTGTGGGCGGCACGGTGGCTGAGTGGATAGCACTCTCGCCTCTCAGCAAGAAGGTCCTGGGTTCGAATCTCGGTCGGACCAGGGCCTTTCTGAGTGGAGTTTGCATGTTCTCCCCGTGTCTGCGTAGGTTTCCTCCGGGTACTCCGGTTTCCCCTACCACTAAAAATATGTCCAATAGGCATGTCTGGCATGCGCCTCCTGTACTGGCGACCCCCGCTCCCATCTCTGTGTGAATTGAGAGATAAATGCCCATAATTAACAATTGTAAACCGCTTTGAGACTCAGATCTGCAGTGAAAAGGCGGTATATAAATAAAGATTACTTACTTACTTACTTACTCATGGGAACCTGAATTTCACCTGGTGGAATGATGAAAGTATCTATATTCTTTCTTTCTAAGTTTCCATGAATGACTCATCAGCACCAGAACTTTATCAACACTTTCCAACAGCAATCAACACATTTGTGGATTATTTATGAATGCATGAATGTCTGTGGAGTTGAACCAAAGCCCTTTCTATCACAGGAATATCTACACTCAGAGGCCCCATTGGGATTCACTGAGTGGGTTAGCATGGTCCATTACTGCAAAGTCTATAGCATGAACCGAAGGATAATGGGATTACAGCACTGGGGAGCGGGCTATTACTTGGGTCGCGGTGTTCTCCTTTGCTCTAATGTGAAGAAGTAAAAACGCAAACAGTAACTTGTAACTATTACCGGTGTTGGCTTAAATTGAAGCCTTACAAAATCACCCGGTGTAACCTTGACTGTGGGTTAAGAGCCCATCACTAAACGCTGTCGTGACACGCACCTCAGAGCACATTAAACATGGCGCCTGCAGATATTAGCCCTGGATGACAGACGTGAAGAATGGACTGACATGGATTGAGACGAGTCCAAACCTCCGGGCCATGACATGTTTCCACCGACTCCCAATTTAAGTTCACCCAGAAGGAAATGATGAGCTGGTTGTAATGCACGGAGTTATGCAAAGGCTTTGTTGCTGAAAGATTGATTCAGTACCAGTCGCCTTCTCAGGGACCAGGTGTATTTCGCAGCTGTAACCTGCACCAGCGTTTCTTCTTTCACTCTGTGTTGGTTAATGTAAAAGCAGTACCATTCATCTATGTGAGAAATCTATAACATTACCATAGAACATGTGGATGAAAGCCTGGGCTCTTTCCAACATTGAGGAACTTTTCGAGTAATTGCTTGAATTTGTGAGTAAAATTTGATCTGTCTTAAAATAATCCTTGAATGAATCTTTGAGTTAGTTCAAAAAGCAGTGGAAAGGGTATTAATGATCTAAAAAGGAGGGAGCATATAACCCCAGTGTTGAAATCTCTCAGATCTCTCTACTGCCCTCCAGTGCAGTGTGTCCTCCACAGCTGAAGTCTTTGCATTCATTAAAGTTCACTTTAAGTGCACTTTAAGAGTAACTGTGAAGCACAATAGAAGGATGAGTGTTTAGCTACAAAGCCTCTTCACTGTGGAATCAGCTCCCCGTCCACGTCAGGGGTAGTGTCACGGTCTCTATGTTCTATACCATTTCAAATCATTGTAACTGTAATTGACAGAACATGACATGTCACCATCGACAATAAAACATGTCTTCTGTCTGAATGAAAGACGCGATCCCAGGCATGTCATCCTCTTCAGGTGGTGGAGAATGCGGGCCTTGTCTGTAACATCTACAGAACAGAAGACTACTTTTTTTTACACAAAAAGTGTTTTTTTTTTTTTCTCAAGCCAAAACTGAGAAACCTCAAGAGAACCCATGCATCTGGATCAGCCCATGGACAATCTGCACAGCCCCTGAGTCCACTCAGGCTGTGAGCTGCTGAGACATGGACAATACCATCGTCCTCTTTTGCATGGACATGATTTGGAAAAATTGGATTACACAATTTGGACATAATTTGGAACAATTGGATTTCTGAATTTGGACATAATTTGGACTGAATTGGATTTCTGAATCTGGACACTGAAGCTGAAACGTGTGATTGAAATAACACGTCACAGAAGAATTCATGGCTCGACACAAATGCAGCCTGAAGAAATCAACACGGAGAAGTGGGAGAGACTGTTTTCAAAGCAATATCTGGAACCACCGACTGATGAAGTTTGGTATTTTACTGACAAGTTTTATGAAAGATCTGAAAATGTTTTCTACTGTTTGTCGCATGGCGCCGTAAAGATGGCGCCGTGGCAAGAGCTCTGGTGTGTGTCGTCTTCTCTGTCTGGTGCACACCGGGGTAGTCTTGCACAGTTTTTCCAATGTGGTTTTACTGCAAATGGCAAATAAATGAATCTGAATCTGAATAAGGGCGATTGGTCCACAGGCCAAAACTAACATGTATAATTGTGACAGGTGTAGGTCAGGTCTTTAAATCACAGGCTCACTTCCTCTTCCTGATCCAGCCTGTTCAGATCAGACTCTGGTGAGCAGCTGAAAGTGTTTTTAGATGTTTTTTAGACTTGTATTGATTGTATATTTCAAAAAAAAAAAAAAAAAAAAAAAACTTTGTATATGTCTTTTAAGGGTCACAACAGTCCAGTCTTGTAGAGATATATGCTTCTGTAAATCTTGTTTGTATATTGTTACTAATTTCAGTTTGTGTAAAATGACTTCATTGACAGCTGGGGTGACAGGGTTCACCTTATTTGCAGTTTTTGGTGGAGGTGGCACATGTATGTACAGTATGTGGTGATATCTGTTGTGAGGATGGATTTCTATGTTTACTTTTGTGTTTGTTTTTCATATATAGTCTGACTCTCACCCCAGCTTCTAGATTCACTGCTTTAAGTCAACCGTTCTATATGCTGTTATTTAAAGTATGTTTTTAGATTGCAAATGAAAGCTGCCATAGGGCTGTTGGACCCACACTGACTGTCTGGCTTTGTTACTGAAGCTCCTGCATTCTAAAACACCTCACAAGTGTTACATAATGTTCATAATTGTAATTTTAGTGCGTCTTCCATTGACCAATCCCAGAGTCTGAATCAACGAGTCAACAAATGTTCTTCTTATTCTTATTGTACACGCAACTTGTGTTCTATGATGTATGCATTTAAATTAACTTTACCACTGTCTGTAACAACACAATTGTTGTCAAGAAAAAGAATATGAGAAAGGGGTAAGCATTAACAAGTTTTATACTTCAGCTTACTCCTTTTGAGCTTTTCTGTGTGCCTTGCTTTATCATTGCATACAGCGCAAATTATGCCTGTTTGTTCATTGCTTTTTATGTCTTTTTACACAAATAGCTCAAATAAACGAAAATGAAATGAAATGAAATGAAATATCTCCAAACTATAGCACAATGAGACACCAGTAACTCACCACAAGTAGCTCACACCCCATTCCCAGTAGCTCCCCAAGGAATTATACATAACAAAACACGACCAGCCAGAACAGAACAAGATACAGGCAGACAAGTATATAGTAAAATAATACATATAAGTTGTGGAAACCCCCGAGGCAGAGGTTTGCAGTGTGTGAGATCACAGGAAGCAGAGTCAGCACCTTTGGAGATGGTAATCCTCCAACAGTTTGGCAAAAGGATCGGAAACTCTCTTTCTCCTCCTCTGCATCAAAGTGCTTTTCCCGCCAACGCCAACGCCACGTACATGTTCATTATTAGGTCACAGGCTGCAATCAGACGATACAGACCGAGGAGGAGGGACAACGGTAAAATGTGCTTTGTGATTTTCCAGATTAGTTCAAGTGCATTCCACGTTTCAATGGAAAGTTTTACAGGGAGCAAATGTAAAATTTTGGGTGGAAGAATCTTGCAGCGGTAAAGTACAGTATGTGTTGGCAAAATTGTCTTGTTGAAGATTTGGACCATGTTAAAAAACTGCTCCATCATGAAAAACAGACCATAAATAATGATCATGGCGTCTGGCAACTCTCTGCTGCAGAAAACCTCTTCCATGACAGAGATGCTCTCCATAATTACAGACCAAGAGGAGACAAAAAAAAACATTTGGCTAAATTTAGAACCACTTTTGGAACCGATTCTAGTCTGAAACAGAGGGACAAACATGAGCAAAGAGAGGGAGAGTGGTGTATGGTCAGAGAGTGTTTTATTCAGGCTGGAGCCAAATAACCATCTGCTTCATCTCAAACTTCTATCTGTTTTGACTTCTGTGGTTTTATATTGGATTTGCATCAGTGTGAAATACAATAATAGATTGATCGTATCAAAGACATGGACAAAGTCAAAGAGAACTCAGTGAGATCCACGAGTGACTGAAGGTTCTGAGAAAGAATATGGAAAGACACATGTTTTCTCTGAGATTCTTCAGATCATACTGGACAAAAAGAATCCTATGGGAATGAAGGGAGCACACATCAGAGAGAACTTTGGGGGACGGGATTTCACTGAAACATTTACGATTTCCAGTTTACGATTTCCAAAACATTCATATCCACACGGCCACAATCTTGGAAGCTGCATCTAATTCTGCCAGATTGCCTCCTTCGTCCTCCTTCTTTGTGCTTCAAGAGTGATCTGTAATGAGACCAAGAAGCTTTGGACAAGTGACATTTAACACCGTTTGAAGGAAGCAGAAACATGTATATGTATATGTATTATCTCGTGACATGTTTTGGCTGCAGAGAGTTCTGAAGGAACAAGGAAATACATCTAATTGTCTTTTAAACTGTAACTTTTTGAAGCAGAAAACTATTTAAATTCAGCTGCAGGGCGAGTTCTGCCTTTCGCACCCTTGTCATCTCATCATGTGTTGGAATGTAGAAGGTCCTGGCAGACTTCCCAAAGGCACACCTCCCAAAGGCAGACGACAGACTCCCAAAGGCAGACCTCCCAAAGGCAGACGTCCCAAAGGCAGACGTCCCAAAGGCAGACGTCCCAAAGGCAGACCTCCCAAAGGCAGACGTCCCAAAGGCAGACTTCCCAAAGGCAGACCTCCCAAAGGCAGACGTCCCAAAGGCAGACTTCCCAAAGGCAGACGTCCCAAAGGCAGACGTCCCAAAGGCAGACCTCCCAAAGGCAGACGTCCCAAAGGCAGACTTCCCAAAGGCAGACGTCCCAAAGGCAGACTTCCCAAAGGCAGACTTCCCAAAGGCAGACGTCCCAAAGGCAGACCTCCCAAAGGCAGACGTCCCAAAGGCAGACGTCCCAAAGGCAGATGTCCCAAAGGCAGACCTCCCAAAGGCAGACGTCCCAAAGGCACACTTCCCAAAGGCAAACGTCCCAAAGGCAGACTTCCCAAAGGCAGACTTCCCAAAGGCAAAGAGTCGTCCCAAAGGCAGACTTCCCAAAGGCAGACTTCCCAAAGGCAGACGTCCCAAAGGCAGACGTCCCAAAGGCAGACGTCCCAAAGGCAGACGTCCCAAAGGCACACCTCCCAAAGGCAGACGTCCCAAAGGCAGACTTCCCAAAGGCAGACGTCCCAAAGGCAGACGTCCCAAAGGCAGACGTCCCAAAGGCAGACTTCCCAAAAGCAGACTTCCCAAAGGCAGACTTCCCAAAGGCAGACTTCCCAAAGGCAGACTTCCCAAAGGCAGACTTCCCAAAGGCAGACGTCCCAAAGGCAGACGTCCCAAAGGCAGACGTCCCAAAGGCAGACGTCCCAAAGGCAGAAGTCCACCGCCCAAACATGTCAGCCGATGAAGAAGTACTAGCTTCTTTAATCTTTCTTCTTGGTCTTAATAAAATAACCGTCTAATCCTTGGAAAATCAGATGGAAAACTCTTTGATCTCTTTCCAACTTAATAAAAACTAATGTTGCTTCAAACATGGAAGAAAATGTGTCTGCGCTCTTTTATTTGCTCCATTCTTCAGCCATAGAGAGATGCTCATACTGCAGTGAACTATGGGAATGTTTATGTCTCAGTCACAGCGTCGTCCACACACCGACACAAAAGTGCTGAGGAGGCGGAACAAAGTGCTAAAAGGCTCATGTCTTAAGCTATTGAACTGCTTTTCCAAAGTACAGTGGGGCTGCCATGGGAACGTTGCGGGATCCCCCAGTGCCCTGCGCCAAACTCTGAGGAACGGTTGGGTTTTGGAGATTCTGGAGCTCAGAGCGATAATCCAACCAGCAGACGGAAACCTGAGACGGAGAGGGACTTTCTGTGAAGAGGAGGCTGGGTGATGTCACATGACCCCGATCAAATATTACCATAAAGTCACAAGCCAAAAGTTATGGCGGATATTTTAACATGTTATACCTAATTTTAAAGCTCGGATTAAGGAAGATGCTGAAAGAGTGTGAACGATAACGCAAACATTATCACGTGGCCTCGGTCATTGTTCTAAAGCAGGCGTGTCAAACTCAGGCCCATGGGCCAAATTCGGCCTTAAAATCATTTTTAAAGGCCCCTGAGATGATTTTTAATTATTATTATTACAGTCACTTGCAGCATTGATGGTGATAGGATACGATGGCATGTTCTACTTCATTTCAAAGCTTATTTTACCAAGAAAACCATGTAATTTAATGTGCTCTAACATTTTAAGTTAGGCCAAAGCTATATTTGCTGTAGTTATCAGTCTTCATTTACGTCTCTTCTTGATATTTTGCCCAATTTTGGTTGAATCCAAATCTACCAGAAAACAATGATAATACTTTTATTCTTTTGAACCCAACCAGCTCTTACGTTGTTAACTTTGGCCCCTGACCCCAATCTACAGCCTCAGTCCTGGGTCTACAGCCTCAGTCCTGGGTCTACAGCCTCAGTCCTGGGTCTACAGCCTCAGTCCTGGGTCTACAGCCTCAGTCCTGGGTCTACAGCCTCAGTCCTGCATCTACAGTCTCAGTCCTGGGTCTACAGCCTCAGTCCTGGATCTACAGCCTCAGTCCTGGATCTACCAGCCTCAGTCCTGGGTCCACAGCCTCAGTCCTGGGTCTACAGCCTCAGTCCTGGGTCTACAGCCTCAGTCCTGGATCTACAGCCTCAGTCCTGGATCTACAGCCTCAGTCCTGGGTCCACAGCCTCAGTCCTGGGTCTACAGCCTCAGTCCTGGGTC